TGAGCAGGGTCTCCCTGTAGCCCTACCTGTCCTGGAACTCACTATGTAGACCAGGCTGGCCTTGAACTCACAGAGATCCACCTGCCTCTGCCTCCAAAGTGCTGGGATTAAAGATGTGCCTTTAAATTTTTCATTACATTTATTTCATTTATTTATTTATTTGTGTGTGTGTGTGTGTGTGTGTGTGTGTTTCTGTGCATGCACATGCATGCCACCATGAGCTTATGGAGGTTAGAAGTCAACTTATATGAGTCTGTTCTCTTCCATCATGCGGATTCTAGGAACTGGACTCGGGTCATCAGTTTTGGTAGCAAGTACCTTTACCCACTGAGCCATCTCAAAGGCCTCCAATGACCTTGCAAGTCTCAAGGCAGATGGTATGACTGGTCCCCTTATCATGAGACAAAACTATGTCCAGGCAGAAGACCAAGGTCAGCAAGTCCTGAGCTAGGACTCCAACCCACAGACCTAAACTGTTTCTTTTTATTTTGTTTGTCTGTTTACTTGTCCATTTGTTTGTTGAGAGAGAATCTCATACTGGAAATCAGGCTGGCCTGGAACTCAACTCTGTAATCCAAGCTAGCCTGTAATTTGTAGTAATCCTCAGCCTCTGGCCTGATGTGATTATAGGCATAACCAGGCTGGACCTGGGACATTTCTTACCATCCCTAAATGGGTGGAAGCCAATCTCTTAGTAAACTGAATACCAACCCCAAATGAGGCAGCAGAGAGCCCTCCAATCCATTCATGGGCAAGACAGAATCACAGCCGGCAAGCACATGTCACACCCATCCCAGGCCCAGCCCAGCACATGCAGAGCTTCCCAGCCACTCAAGCCATACACATCATCACAGAGCATCTTGAAGGTCTTTGATGTCCCCATCCCTTGGGCTGTCCTATCAGCATTTGGAACAATTTTGAACCCCTTCTGTGGGGTCTCTCCCTCTCCTTGCGGGTCGTTGGCACCGGTCCACGAGGACAAGGGGAGCAGAAGCGACAAGCGGGGTCAGGACGGCCAGTGAGCACTGACGGAAGAAAGCCCTTCCGGGGAGGCAGGTTCAACGATGCAAACAGCTCCAGACTCAGTGAAACAGCTCCGTTTATTCAGTGGGAGAACTAGAGAAATTATAGTGTGGAGGCAGTAGCCAAAGCCTCAGCTGATAGGTGTTCATAGTGTGCTTTATTTACATGTGGGCTCCTATCGTCCAACTATCAGGCAATGCCTGATTATCATATAGAAAAAACCTGGGGGTAGTTTTTACTCCAGGTAACTATGCCAAAGGTCATGTTCCAAATAAGGTCAGGCATCCGTGCTTGGTGACACTTTCCAGGTAAGTCAGAAAGAGAGCAGGAGACCCCCTGCTGAAAAGGGGTGTCCTTCCATTAGGTGCCGAGCCCCTTAGAGCTATCCTGACATGGAGGACTACAACCCTAGCAGCAGGGTTTCCCAGCACCTTCTAAGTGAAGACCGAGGAGACAAAGTCTCCCAGTGTTCAATGTGTTCAAAGCCCTTGGGATCCCCATCTTCCATGAGACCCACACCTATGGCCCAGCTCTGTCCTCCCTCCACACTCAGGGTTCCAACCACAGTGACCCTCCTTTCTCTCTCACCCATAACTTCTTCCTTCCTGCCACTGCAAACCAGCCCTCCACACCAAAACAAACTCTGCCCAAAGCCTCAGTTTACCTATCTGTAAAGTGGGAACAACAAGCAAGGGAGGACAGGCTCCACTTCTTGTATCTCACAGGGAACAGAGGAGCAGAAATCTAGAAGCCAGGGTTGGGACACAGAGAGGAGTAGGCAGGACAGAGGCATACCTCTCTCCCAAGGCCCAGGGCCACACAGGTCTGCATCTGAGTCACAATCATCTCTCAGTAGGTTGTAAGACTACTTTGATCCTCAGAACTCCTTTCCTCTCAGAATCAGATTTCACCTGTACCCACCTTCTAACATGGCTCCCTACTGCCTTGGGATAAGTATGGCTAAGAGGCACACCTGACCCTTGTCACTTGATGTGGCCTTACCACAGCACCTCCTGCCCTGCCCTGGGACTTCTCGCTGCCCATATTTCTTTCCGTTTCCTCCAACACATTACGGGTACACCCCTCTGATACTTTGCACATGCTGATCTCTACACCCTCTAGCTCCTAATTCCAGCACCCGTTCCTCTAGGAAACCTTCCCTGATTGATGTTCCCTAATTACTTCAGAGAGTCTCTCCATGTGTTTTTTGATGCCATCTCTCCCACCAAAACGTGGTACCCTGGAGGCCACAGGACTCTCCAGCACCCAGCTTCCTCAGAGACCTGGGTGGTATCTACTTTCTGCATCCTCTCACACTGAGCTGATGCCAGAGCCCTGTATATGCTGGAGAGAGTGGCGGTGGCCTAGGCCTGGTATCTTCCTCTCTCCCCCACTCCATCCCATCCCACCCACACAATGCCATCGCCTGGATCCTAGGCCCATCTCTACCCTTGCTGTCTGGCCTCCTCTGCACTCTAGCCTCTCAAATCCCTGTGGCGTAAACTTCTCCCTGGAAGCCGGGGCATCAAGACTGAGATCCTAAAAAACAAAAGCAAGTGTTGTGGCAGAGTCTGACTAGTGTGCACAAGGCCCTGAGTTTAATCCTTAGCACTGCAAAAAATACTGAGAGCCCACCACCCTGGGCTAAGCAAGGCCTGGGTTTAGCAACAGAGCACTTGTACTAGCTTGTGTGAGGCCCTGAGGTCCATCCCCAACACCCAAAAGCTGAGCCTCCAGCCCTTTCTCCCTCCCAGCTGTGACACTTGCTGGGCCCCAGAGTCACCAAGCCCTTTCTTCTTCTTTGCACCTGTCATGTGGTCTGTCCACCTACCTCACCCTCCAGATTGTCTGAACTTCTGTCTTTCCTGGATCCCAAGGCCAGTCCTGGCCCAGCCCTTCATCTGGCTCCCCAGGTCCTCCTTGGTCTCTTGCTCTATCCCACCCTCACCCAAACCTGATGGAACCTGTCCAAGAAGTCAGGCTCTTCTTGCCCCACTCCCTGGGGAACTTTTGCCATGGGGTTGCAGAAGTCACTCAAGTCTGGTGGTCAGGCCAAACAGACTGAGAATATTTGCTGAGGAGTAAACAAGGCAGGGGGAGGAGGGAGCAGAGGAAGGAAAGGGCCAGGGTCCAGGCCAGAGCCTAGAGCAGGAAGGGGGCCCAGGAGCCTAGTGGTTTCAGCCCCCCCCCCCCCAGCCCAGTCCTTAGCCTCCAGCCAAGTGGTGGGCAGAATCCTGAAGCCAAGCCAAGGTCTGCGTTTGATTGATTTAAGCAAGGGACCCAGACAATAGTTAGTTACAACTTCACAGGCGGGAAACAAAGAGACCAGTAGCCTGCTGGGCAGGGGAGGGGGTGGCTGGGGACCATCTGCTACAAAGAAGGGGAGAGCAGGCTGAGGCCATCTCCCCCTGCCCAGCCCCCACCCACGAGGAGACTGTAGGAAGAAAGCCTCCCTCAAACTAAACACACAAAACAGCCTCCCAGCCCACCCTCTCTAAAGGACAAAGGCAGCACACGAGTCCCAGCCGGCTACACCAAGGCCACCTGCCACCCATCACCTTTAACCAGTCGGGCGCCCAGCACTGGAGTTAACCAGCTAGAATTGGTTCAGACACACTTGTGCTGTGTAGATAGGGAAACTGAGGCACAAGAGAGGGCTCATAACCAAGATTGCAGGAAGAAATGAGCCCAAAAGTGAGGGGTGATGGGATGGCTACAGTGGGTCTCCCTGTTCCCCCCACCTTCCTCCTGCACCTGACTGCCCTTCCTGTAACTTAAGGAATAAAATGGCTGAGCTCTGCCTCTTGTTGTGGGTCAAGCTCCAACACCTCTCCTGCCTGTGCTAGAATGTTACTGTAAATGGGAGCCAGTGCCTGCCACACAGGTGGTTGGAGGGAAGAGGGTGAAGAAGCACGATGCTTCTGACTGAAGCCCCTTTAGTGGGAAGCAGCTAGAAGGTGCCCTTGGTCCGGCTGCCTGATTGGCCTCCGGGAGGGAGCTGGGACTAAAGAGTAGGCAGCTGCTGACCTCTTTTGCCAGTCTGGGTCTATCAGGCACCAGCACCCCTGCTGACAGCCAGGGACCCCAGTAACCCAGGCAGCTCTGATTCCCAGACCTGGAGAGAGTAAAGGGACCCAGTTGAGTGGTGGGAGGGAGTCCCTTCTGGGTGACGCTGGCCAGCCCTTCCTCATCTCCAGCCTTAGTTCCCTCATCCGGGCCAAGGGCACCACCAGGGTGAGCAAGGCAAGACAGGAAAGTGCTGAGGACCACGTGAGGCCGGCAGACACATACCAAAAACAGGAAGGCCTGTGGGGAGGGCCAGACTGGTGGCTTCTAAGGAGGAACCAGACTCTCCCCAAGATAAAGCTGCATGGAGCCCTGGGGAGAGTGGGATGAGGGGGGCCCTGCTACGAAAGGGCTCATCCAGGTGTGGGACATCAGTGCCAGGAAAATGGGGGGAGTGTCTTTCAAACTGCCCCTACCTCTCCCTGACCCACCCTCTCCTTGGCCTCCCCTCCAAGGGTTCAGTCACTTCCTCCCACAGAGCCGGTGGCCACAGTAGGAACAGAGTGCATGTGTGCACACATGCACAAGTGCATGAATTCATATCTACCTCCCCTGAGACAGTCTCCAAAGCACCCCCCCAACTGGCTTTGATTGATGGGGACCCTGGGTATGGGGGAAAGGGCTCAGCTTATAGGAACCACCATTACCACCCACACACCTCATCACTGCATATCTAACATACTTAGCTCCATGTGTGAACACACATGTACACACACACACACACACCACATACAATCCCACGTGCCAGGCAGGCCTCCACCCCACCTCAACCTCCTGCCCACCCTGCCTCAGCCACTTCCTCCCACCCTGCCTCAGTCACCTCCTCCCAGAGGCAGCACAGGAAACTGGGAGGCTAGATGCCGCCCAGGCACACCCTGGGCAGCACAGTGGACCAGAAGCTGGAAGGAAGTACCCCTCAGCAGGCCATACCTCGTGTCTACCCCACATCCCCACTGCACCCATGTCGCCCAAGTCTCCCATTATCAGAGCCAAGGCAGAGTGGCAACCCAGGCCTGGTGGGGCAGCACCTCTCTGGGGCTTCCTCTATGGCTGCCCAACACGCACCAGTCAACCCCGAGGCGATGGGGAAGTAAAGAAGATGAGAGGGACCCCAAGGATGGCAGAGGATCCTGGGGCAGGAGCTGGTGAGTCTGAGGAGCCCCTGGGGTGGGGCGGTGGGGCTGGCATGTTGGAGGAGACGGCCCAGATGACCCCTATAGTGGGCAGCTTCCCCAGCCCAGCAGAAAAATCCTTGTAACCCCCTCAGCCAGGAGCTTTCCCAGGTCTCAAGGTGGTCTGCCTATCACCTGTTGCTTGATCCTGGAGACCCACGTGTCGAGCAGCAGGTCCAGGCGGGAGCGGTGGAAGGCCCAGGTGGTCTTGACTGCAATGAAGACATCGCCCAACTGCAGTTCCCGGGGTCCCAGGCTCGGCTGGTTCAGCCTGGGGGTCCCCTGCACAGTCTGCGGAGTCAGGCTTGAGTGGTACCGTAGGGACAGAAGCCCGGTGCCCAGGAGGGTGAGGAGGACTCCCGCCAGGCCCCGGAAGAGTCGATACTGCATTGGCACCCGGACCCCAGACAGCGGAGCCCCAGTCAGTCCGGGGTGGGCGGCTGGTCAGGCGGGGGACCTGGCACAGGCAAAAATCTGGCAGGCATCAGGGGCAGGCACCCAAAGGACAGGCGGGTGCTGGGGCTCTGGACCCCGAGGCTGAGCCACTACTGTCCCGCCAGCCGGCAGCCAGCGGCCAGGGTCGGCCACCTGCTCCACCGCCCTCCCTCCTTGAGAGGCCGCAGGGCTCCTGGCCCCGCCCCTGCTTCTGCTCCAGAGGCGGGGCCAGGCCCAGGGAGCCCCAGGGGTGGCTGCTAGGAACCACCCGCCACAGGGGCGCCCTGGCCCCACCAGCCACTGCAAACACAGCAAACCCTCCACCAGGTAGGGTGGAGCCCCTTCAGCCTTCCCGCCCCCACATCCCTAAACCGTTTACTCCACAGCGTCCTTGTGGAGCCTCGCCTCCCCAGTTTCCTTCCCGTCTGCTCTCCCCATTGCCCACCATCCTCCAGGCTTCAGGCCACTTGGCTGGATCTCTCTGGACCTTATGCTTAGTTCCGAGGTCCCTCCTCCAGGAAGCCAGCCCTGACCACCCCTTCCAAACCCAGGCTCCTGCAGAAGGCTCTGTTCCTTTTCACAACAGTAAACTCATAGCCGAGATCCAAAGTCCGGAAAGCGCAGAACAATCTAAGGTGATCCGACAGTCCAGGCACAGCACCGGGTTGGAACTCTGGCCTCTGGTCCTATCTGGAGTGCCTGTCTTTCCAGTTGTGGCCCACTTCACTAGTAAGGCTCCATAGTTGCCTCCTCAGGCCACCTTCTCCAGCCCCCACCTGCTTCCTGTCTCATTCTAGGTCACTCCCATCTGTTCCCTCCACTGCAATCCTGCCCTGGCTCTCTTCCCCAGTTGTCTGTCACCCAGTCTCTGACAACTCTCAACTTCAGCTTAACTGAGCTCCTGACTGGTCAGACCTACATCTACCACAGGACCTTTGCACTGAGCCCTGCCTGAGCCCTCTCTTTAGGATCGTGTGCCTCACTTCTTGACTCCTTTGGGCCTTTACACAAACAGCTCCACGAGGCTTTCCCTATTTACTTTAACTTGTAGTCTTCTTCCCCAGACCCCCAAGTCTGTCACTCCAGAATCCCTTCCTTACTGCATTGTCCCTATAACACTTTCGTGTCTTTCAGCATCCAGTCTATTTTACCTACTTACTGTGTCTTCCTCATGAGACTATTGGACTAGGTGTTTCTTTGACTGACTCCCCAGAGCCTAGTCTAGTGCCCAGAACATACTAGGAGCTCAATAAATACTTGCAAATTAATCACAGGATGGACGAGGAGATAGGAAAACCAAGCTTTTGGCACTAGCCCCAGGCCCAGTTCCCTTCACAGTCCCCGTTCTTAGCACAGTGCCACCAGGGAAGAGTCTAGGCTTTGTGACAGGTTCAGATCCAAATAGGTATCTGACTGTGTGGCTTTAGACAAGATACTTTGATCATCTGTCAAACGAGAGGCAGGAAGATGGTTCAGTTAATAAAGGCACCTGCCACCAAGCATTTTCCCCAAGCTGCCTGTCCCCGGAAGCACTGGGCCAGGCACATGGCAGGCGGTGGACAAAGTCCCTTTCCCAAATGAGGCAATGTAAACGCTCTGCCTTGTAGTGATGGCTATATCACATGAAGGACCCAAAGCTCTCCCTAGCATAGACCACAAAACCCCCATTCTGGGAACTTGCTGGTAATGTAACCTGCAGTTTATTAAAGGCCCTCACCCCTTTCCATTGCCCTGCTCTCCTCTTTATCCACCTCTCAGGCACTCAGCCCCAAACCCTTGAACTCAAGACCTTTGCCTTGTCAGTCAACAAGGCCCAGAGCCAGCCCTGGGCCCTCCAGAGCTCTCATTCCCTAGGCCCCTCTTGCCTCGACCACCCAGTGCCCAGTCACCCCTCTTCAGCTCACTGTACCAACCCCAAGCTAGGCTCTCCCAGGCCCATACCCTACCACCTTACTCTAGTCTCCCTGTAGGTTCTCCACCCACAGCCTGCACCCCAGCCCTACACCTTGATTTCTTGCCTCACTTCTCCCCACTCCCCAGGAGGCCACCGGGAGCTCATCTTCTGCCCCAGTCAGTACATCCCCAAGTCCCCGGGAACCTGCCCAAGTTCATCTATCTTTTTTTTTAATTAAAAAAATTTAGAATATTTTATTATTTTTATTTTACGAGTATGAGTGTATTACCTGCATGTATGTGAGTGCAACTGTGTCGTCAGAAGAGGGTGTCAGATCCCCTGGAACTGGAGTTACAGACGGCTGTTAACCGCCATGTGGGTGCTGGGAATCGAACCTAGGTCCACTGCAAGAGCAGTCAATGCTCTTAACCTCTGAGCCATCTCTCCAGCCCCTCATCTCTCTTTATATAAGCTTAATAAGTGCTTTTTGGTTTTTGTTTTTGAGCCAGGGTCTCGCTATGCAGCCCCACACTGGCCAACCTTGAACTCCAGATCCTCCTGTCTCAGCCTCCCCAGTACAAGGATTATAGGTGTGTGTCACCACACATGCCCAATAAATGCTTCTTAAAGGAAGAAACCCCAGAGGTGGCAAGCTGGCTCAGCGGGTTAGGACACTTGCCACCAAGTCTGAGGACCACAGTTTGACCATTAGGACCCACATGGTGGAAGGAGAGAACTGATTCCAGCAAGTTGTTCTCTGGTTGCCACACTCGCACCGTGCACACTTGTACATACACGCACAGAATGAATACATGAAGGACAAAAAAAAAAAAGGGTGGTGGGGCTAGAGGTTAAGAGCCCTGGCTGTTCTTGCAGAAGACTTGTTTGATTCCAGGCACCCACATGGTGGCTAACAATTGTCTATCCTCCATGGGCACTGCATGACACGGTTGCAGTTACTTACATGTAGACATAACACTCATGCACATAAAATAAATTTTGCCAGGTGTGGTGGTGCACATCTTTAGTCCTAGCACTTAAGAGGCAGAGGCAGATGGATCTCTGTAAGATCAAAGCCAGCCTGGTCTACACAGTGAGTTCCATGCCAGTTGGGGGCCACAGGGAGACCCTGTCTCAAAAAGAACAAATAAAAATAAATTTTAAAAAATTAAAAAAGTCTCAGCCATCAAAGCCAAAGGACACCTGTTCCCAGTGAGCTTGCCTGGATTCCTCCCACTGGAGGTGACTGTCCTCTCTCTGGAGGAGCTGTCTCCGGGACTCCACACACCCAGCTCTGGGTCTCCTACACTCAAGAATAGGTCACACCATGTCCTGCTAACTTCAGTGACCTGCTCCAGGGAACACTCCCTTAAAAGACAAGGCAGGGCTGAGGGCCCAAGTGGCCCATCTGTAGGGCTCCCCACCTGGCACTGGGGCAGGTAAGATGATGCCGGCACAGATGGCGAGTGTATCTAGGATGAGTCAGGAGGGAAATATGACCCTCCCCCCAGACTGAACAAGCTGGCAGGTACCTGAAAGTTTGAGTCTGCAGGAGCTGGAGGTGGGGACAACAGGGAGGGGTGGAGCAGACACAGCATGCCAGGGACACAAGCAAGCAGAAGGCCACCAGCTTCTATGACAAACTTTAATGACTCATTATGTGCAACTTGAGTGGAAGGACCTGGGAGTTAACCACGACCCATACATTCTGGTGGCCGAGCAGCCACCATCACCCTGGCTACCCAGAGGCAGGTGCAGGGCAGGAAGCTGGCCGTGAAACATGTGCTGGGTGTGCTCACTGAAACACATGTTTCTTAGTGTCCAGTGTCATTTACACAGTAGGACACACATAAGGAGACATGAGGGACACAGATGAGATTCAACCAGGGCAGCCACGGTGTCCATGCGTGATGGCACACACAAAAAATGTGAGTGGGTGGTGGGACCACACAGTGCTGGTCAGAGCACGCTGAGGACGCCAGGGACTTTGTGTGCCCCAGGTGGAAGGACAGAACCAATGCCATGAGAACATGAGTGTGCAAAGTCAGGCACAGGTGTGAGAACTTGACTCCAAGGTGTGTGTACGGAGGGCACAGACACACGGAAGACCCAGGAATGGAAACACGGGGACATTGGGACTGGTGGGGCACCCAGAGCAGCAAGTACAGGGGCAGGTGCAAGCTGCACCCCATGGACTCCCACAGTCCCACAGTGCCAGTGACAGACTCCAGTGAGAGCACAGGGTTGAAGTCCCACATCAGAGAGTCCATGGGTCAAGGAAGGTTCCAGGATGGGGAAGGCCTGACTCTACCACTGACATGGGGGTCCCAAGAGCCGGTAGCCTCTGCAGCACAGGCATCCAATGGAAGAGGCCCAGGCACCAGATGAAAGACACTCAGATGGTTGATGGCAACTTGGGCACAGGATGGGCCCTCAGGCCTCACTGCTGCTGCCGCTGCCACCTCGGGTACTACCTTGCTCCACCCACACGAGGCGGGCCTGCTCCTGCAGGATGCGGCCACGGACCACTTTGGCCAGCTCTTCTGCATGGCCCCACGCATGGGCAGGCACCTGCACCCAGGAACAGGGAAGTCCCCAAAGCCGCTGTTCCGAGCCACGGCACTGACGAAGCAGCTCTGAGTCCCGCCAGCCTGGCCTGCCCAGCAGGCTCCTGTCAAGGGGCAGATGGGCAGCGGTCAGAGTGGATTGCATAACACACACACACACACACACACACACACACAATACATATATGTGGCACATGATACACATACATACCACTCACATAATACACAACAATACACATGTGATACATAACGTGCACGATACACATTATGACACACATGATGCACATGATACATGTGATACACCCACATACGCACCTATCATACACACATTAATACACGCACCATGATATATACATGCACACATACCAGTAACACAATGCACACAATACACATACATGATTACACACACTCAAGATGGACAGACAAGCAGAGGGAGACAGACAGATACAGAGACAGAAGCATCCATAGGGGCGCCTGGCCCATGCCCACCCACTCACCTGACCTCCCGGACATTCTTCTCAGTCACTTCCACATGGATGACAATGGGGTAAACCTCACTCTGCACCAGCTCTCGCACGCCCCCAGTACCCAGCTCCAACAGACAGTGCTTCTTCTCGGACAGACAGACTGGCTTACTCCTGGGCCCACTTCCCCCACTGCACCCACCCTGCCCCTGTCTGCCTCCCAAGGGATAGTCCTGCTTTCCTACCCAGAGGGAGCAGGCAGAAAGGAAAGAACCAGAGGAGGTGTTAGACTGAAGAAAGGTCAGGTACCCCTCTGGACCAGGGTCTCCCATCCCACTCACCCACCAGCCACTACCCTGCAACCCCAGTCAGCAACCAGGACAGTGGAAATTCAGGGACAAGGACACCCAGGTAAGGACCAGCCCAATACTTCCAGGGTAAGCCACAGGAGAACCACAGTCCCAACCCAACCAGCACAGGAGAAGACACTGAGGAACCCAGGCAGTGGCCCAGATGCTGGTTCTGAGTACCAGAATTGCAGCCTAGCACCCTCCATCCAGCATCTACCTTCCCAACAGACTCCTGGATGGTGCGGATCCTGCTGCCCAACCCAGGGGTGGTGGGCTGGGCCTTAGGGGCTCCAGGTGCCGAGGATGAGCACTGTTCCTCTCCAGAGAGACTTTCTGTAGAGGACGGAGTGAGGCAGGACCCAGGGTTATGGGCCTGACTGTCCAGTGACACCCTACCACATTCCCCTCATCCCCCCCCCGCCCCAGGTGGCAAGCTCACCAGCTGGGCACACTTGGAAATCCAGCCGGGAGCTGGGCAGATCCAGAAGGTTTCGGATGAGTCGGGGTGCCAGACACTCGGGCAGGAGCACCACAGGCCGCAGTGCAGACACTAGCAGTGGCCGCACCAGGCTGTAGGGTTTGAGGCTCTGCTCCAGCTCTGCAGGAGGGAGAGGTACAGAAGAGATGAGAGGCTCCACAGCATGCTCGAAACCAACATCACCTTCTCACCATCCGTTTTCCCTTCCTGGGTCCTGCTATGATCCACCACACGTATGTCTCACACACACACACACACCCACACACACACACACACACACACACACACACACACACACACACTCACGGAGGAAGAGCTGGAACTGTTGCTTTGGGTCTTCCTGAGCCTCTGTCTCAGCTCTGCCCTCTACAGGCCACTTCTGACTCATCAGTTAGGAAAAGGCTTCCAAATGTCAGTCAGATCATGTGACTCCCTGCTTTCAAAGCACAGTGACTTCCCAGCATCCCTGGGCAAAGGCCACATCCTCCCCATGGTGACAGCACAGCCTGAAAGCCTGGGGAGGATGGAGCGGCTAACCAAGCTCCTGCCTTAGCTGTGTGCAATGTCAGGGCTTTTGACTCCAGTGCAAAGCCACGCCCTTGCACCTGTCAGCCCACGCAACTTCTCCCTGTCCCCAGCCCATGTCATACCTTTCTAGGTGCAGGGCCCCTGGTACATGCTGCACGGCACCCACCTCTCCAGTGTCACAGACCTCACTCTTTCTAACCATGCTCACTGACTCTCCTACTAAACAGGGAGCTCCTTGAGCGAGGGGCTGCTGAGTCGGTCCCGTAGGCTACAGGCTGGCACTCCACACCCATCTTCTGTGCCCACCCAGGTCATGCTCCTGTGACTGCATGAGCCAACCCTTCTACCAGGGGCAAACTCCTCTTCAGCCTCAGAGGCCCCAATTGAGAGAGCCTCTCTTCTAAAGTCTTCCCTAACCACTCCATCCTGGGTGTCCCTCAGCAGTGCCAGTCCCTCATCTGCCCTCCCCATCCCCACAAGCCCTTTCACCCTCATCTGGCATGGTAGGTGGTGCTGGTACCCACCATCACTCAAGATCACACACACACCAGGGTCAGGGCTCTCCTCAATCCACCAGGGAGCCTTGCCCCTCAGGACTGTGCCCACTTCCAAGCCAGAGGCCACTCAGAGGTGCACTGGAAACTCGAGCAGCACAGACGTTCCTTGTTCCTCCAGGCTCACCTGAACAGGGCTCTACAGACGGTTGTTCAACTGAGTCCCCTGCAGCGCTCCCTGAAGGCTTGGGTCTCACAAGCCCCAGGGCTCTTTTCTTCAGCTGGGAGAGCAGAAGGAATGAAAGTCAGCCAAAACTCACTCCATTCCACCAAGAGAAGGGGAGCCCAGGGGGCATCTCACCACCACTGTCCAGGCTCAAAGGGGTCAGCACAAAGCACTCCCCTCAGCCCAGCCCAGCCCAGTCCCAGGCAGGCACTCCTCCAATGAGCTATATCAGGACCTTGGGTGGGAAAATCAATGACACCAGCACTACTTAGACCAAGCCTAACAACTATGGAACACGCACAGTGCAGGCACTAGGGCTGGATGTGCGGGAACTCACAGAAGCTGCTTATTGGCCAGGAGGCAGGAGGACAACCAACCTCTGGTTACAGCAGAGAATGGAAGAGGTTCGGATGCTTGTCAGAACACAGCTGTGCAGCAGCAGGGCTGGCCCTGATCTGGATAGTCTGCCCAGCTCCCACGCTCCCAGCCAGCTCCCCAGCAATGGGGCCTCCCTGGCCATCTAACCTGGGAGCCTCACTTTCCCATGAGCACAGTGGTGACCCAGCTCAGGGACAGAAAAAGGGAATGTGATTGCTATCAGGTGTCCTCTGTGTGCCGGCCACACTCCTGGGCCCAAGACACATTCCATTCCATCTCTCAACTACCCTCAACAGGGAAACCAGTGCTCTCTATTTGCTGAGCACCTAATAGCTAACCACTTAAATCATGGTGACAGTGTAAAACGGGCCGCTCCCCCTTCTCCTTCCCCAAGGCTGACAATCAGCCCTGCCCCTCCCTCTGGATGCCACTGTGCTGCTCTGTCCCCAGACCCTCTCCCTGCCCACCCAGTGCTGCTTACATTGCTGCGTGGGCTTCGGTGCCTGCTGGGGGATGGGTATTTTTCCTGAACTTCCAGAAGCTTCTGAGCTCTGTGGGAGGGAATGAAGTCATGCATTTAGAGGGAAGAGCAGGCCCTGACCTCCTCTCCTTCAACCCATCCTGTTCCCAAGGTCCCCCATCCTGGGCTCCCAGCTGTTGTCACCGCTGATAATTGGGTACTGTGCCCCGGTCCAGGTCCCGTAGTGTGAGGGGGTCCACTCGGGTGCAGAACCATTCCTGCCGCCGCTTGTAAGCTGGGTCCACCAGCCTCAGGATCTCTTGGGCTTTTACACAAAGGGCATAGGGATCTGCTCGCTCAGGCAGGGAGAGGTTGGCTCGAATGTAGAAGGGCTCAGAGCCTGGCCCCTTGGCCCAGACGTCTAGGGCTTCATGGAAGGACTGGCAGGCTGGGTTTAGACAGGGTGGGAAGGACAAAGGAGGCTAGTGAGACAAGGGATTGACCACTGAAGGCCTGGGGGTAGGGGCAGGGGGCACTGGTTGCGGTCCTCTGTAGAGCTGGGCTGGAGGACTGGCTTTAAGTGGGAGAGTTAGGTGCAGAGGAGGTAGGGACTTTCTTGAAGCTGCCAAGTCCCTAGTAAACAGAGCCAGGGCTCAAAGCTAGGTCTCTGGACTGCTTTTTCACAGTAAAGTGCTTACTAGGGGCAGAGAGGACATGAGAACACACAAAAGGAGGCCACGGCCCTACGGAACGCTAGGATTTCTGCATCTGCTTCTGGGCCTTTCTTTTCCCACCCATACGCTAGACTAAAGCAGAGGGCCCCTTGGACCCTGACTGTCTAGACCTCAAGAGTTCCCTGTCCTCTTGTAAGTCAGGCTTACCCTTTGAGTCCAGTAGGAAGGGGAGTGTAGAGCCCTGGTTCCGGGACAAGGTCCTCTGCTGGGACTCAGCTTCCAGGCTGGCTCCCTCCAAGCCGGCACCTTCCGCCCTTGGCTGGGAGATGACCCAAGCAAGAAAGTGAATGAGTTTAAGGGCGTGGCTCTGTCAAAGTGCTGCCAGCCTGCCCTACCTCCCACTCTCTACCAAATCGGCTGGCTGAGGCAGGGCAACCATGCAGTCCCAGAAGTCCCATTCATGAGGGCTGCTCCACCCATCAGTGCCCAGCCCTTGTTAAAGTAGGACTCCGACTCCGTCCCAAGCTCAGTGGGGGAGGGACCTCACTCACCTCTTTCTGTTCTGTCCTAGCTGACCCAGGCCCTGACAGCACCCTTCGCACCACTCCCCCAGACCATCTGTCACCAAGGAACGGCAAGCTATCTGCACCTCTATCCTGGAGCTCTGGGCCCCCTGGGGGGCTCCAGCCAGACACTCGGATAGCCAGAGACCTGAGGAGAGGAGGAAGATGGGAATGAGAGTCAGATCAGTACTGTCACACAACTCAGAGGTCCTGGACAATAGTCATGATTGTATACCTGAGCAGGCCCTGAAGGCTGGCATGTTACAGCTGACCCCTATCCAGTTTTGCCTTTTCTCTTCTGCTCCACCCATCTCAAAGGCCTTCAGTCCCAGACACCTGTGCCTTCCATCCAGACTCGATCCCTAGCCCCAAATCTAGTGTCTGACACAAAGAGGATGATGGAATCAAAGCCTGTCTTGTTCACAGTCCAAGGAGGGAGGCTCAGTTAGTACCTAACCTGGCTGGGCATGGTGGCACACACCTTTGATCCCAGCAGAGGCAGAGGCAGGCAGAGCTCTGTGAGTTCAAGGACAGCCTGCTCTACATCATGAGTTCCAGGCTAGCCCCACTAGAGGGAGACCCTGTCTCAAAAAGACCAAAACAAATAAACAAACAAACAAATATCTAACCTGGAACAGCCACACTGGGAACAGAGGGTAGAAAGAGGAAATGACACACCTGGACCACACCTCAGTGAAGAACACAGAAGGCTTGGAATACTGAGTACAGGATATATGAGGGTCAACACTGGCAGAGGCAGGAGGTGGCTCCAAGTGTCACCCAGGGTGCCCAGTCCCATGCTCAGTTCCTTGCCCTGGTTACCAACTTAGCATCCTGAGCAAAAGCTCCCAGAAAAGCTAGCTGGAGCCAGCCAACGTCTGGAGGTATAACAGGAAGACATTTGCCAGCCACATCACCCCCACCACAGTGGGGGCCACTGACTGTAGAGACAAAGAGACACTAAGATCCCCATGGTGACAGGGTCCTGCTGTTGTCCCTGGATGAGAACCAGTGAGTTCTGGTGGCCAGTCTCAGAGACAAACTGACCCCAAATCTCTTCCATAAGCCCTGGCCCTGGAGAGAAGGTGAAGCTAGGATGAGGTCATCTGGAGAGGAAAGGTCACCACCCAGCAGCCCCCGACCCCAACCCTGGCACCTACAGCTCAGATCAGACACACTGCCCCCTGCTGCTGGCTCCTGTCCCCTCAGTCATAGCAGAGAGCCAGGCCCATGGAGACTGTCCTGGTTCTTAGAGGTGATAGGGAAAGAGATCTAGGCAGAATGGGGAGGGAGGCCTGATACACACCTAGTCAGCGGATACATTCTGGAAGACTCCACCAGGCATACCCAACTCAAGACCCACGAGCCACATGCCACCCAGGATAGCAATGAACACAGCCCAACACAAAATTATAAACTTACTTAAAACTTTATGATTTTTTTGCCTTTTTTCCCCCTGTAACTCAATTGCACAGTTCTCAGATGCAAATTTTGATATGATAACCTTGTGTCATCATGTCAAAAGGTTGGCCAGGCCTGCATTAAGCCCTACATAAACCATGTTCCAGGCTGACTCAGGAAAGCGAGCTGATTGCTTGAGTCTCATTGCCATGAGCATATACACTACATTAGCAGCTCTCTGCCCCTGTGGGTGTGAGGGTCAAATAAAAAACTGGACCATACCCTCCCCCATTCTCTTCTGAAACGGGGTCTCATGTACCCCAGGTTGGCCTTGAGCTCTCTATGTAACTGAAGATGGCTTTGAATATTTGATCCTCCTGCCTCCACTTCCCAGGTACTGGGATTACAGACATGAACAATCACATCCAATTTATACAGTGCTGAGGCTCAAACCCAAGGCCCTGTGTGCGTTAGGTAAGCTCTCTATCAACTAAGCCACAGCTCCAGCCTGGACCATTGCTCAGGAGCCTTCGATTTCAGGCCGCTCCCAGATCTCCCTCACCAAGGGGTGTCATCAGAAAAGCAAAGAGAAAAATACCAGAGAGGAAGGCAGCACCACCTGGCTAACCGCGGATGCCGGTGCCCGCCTCCTCCACTCCCCACTAATCCTCTGACATGTCCAGTCATGAATGAAAATGTGGGGTGCTCTCAGAACAGTCCCAGCAACTATGACCTCAGGAAAATCCAGCCAGGCTGGAGAGACAGTTCAGGGGATGAAGCTGATTGCTGCCAAGTCTGACAACCTGAGTTTGGTCTCAGACACTCACATGATAGGAGAGAAGAGCAGCCCTAAGTTGTCTCCTGAGCTCTGCACATGTGCCGTGGCTTGAGCGCACCACCCCCCAACAAAATAAATAATAAATAAATAAGTAATACATAAAATGGAAGTTTTAAAAACTTAAAAATGACTATTTCCTGTTGTCAGGCAGGACTGAGGAAAAGGCGTGACTCACTGGCTGCTGCCAATCCACAGATTGCCGGCCTTCCCTCACAGAACCCCTCACTCAGCCCCTTCCCACACCCCTGCTGGCCTGGCCACTGCAGTCCCAGCAACAGGGCTCATGCTTGCCTACCAGATCTTCCTGCCAGCTCCTATTGCACTCTGAAGACTCATCACTGGCATCCCCTCCCCTAGAACACTGTTGACAACCTCCCAGGGTCCCCAAGGACCCTGTGATTTCTCTGAGCCTCCCCAAAGCAGGCTATCTGTTGCAGGCATTTGTCAGAGCTCTGGGGTAGCCTGGGGTTTGGTGGGAGCTGAGTGCAGAGATTCCCCTTCTGGGGCCTCGGCAAATACAGAAAAGAGGGGAGAGCTAACTATGCTGGGTGACCCTGACCCAAGCCTGACACTGAGGCGCTGGGTGGTAGAAAAAATAGGGGCTCTTCAACAACAGACAAGGGCTCCCAGCCCTGCCCCTGCCAGGTAACGGAAAATCTGCCATCTCTGCCAGCACTGAGTGATGATGTGGCCTCAGAGTGTCACTGCCCCAGGACACTGTGGGAAGATCTGCAGGCTGAGCATGGGACTGCTTTGCATCAGTCAGGGACCAGGGATGCTGAGGCTGAAGCCTGCCACACAGACTAAGAGCGTTTAATGCTTCTGACAACTCTATAGAAGGTAGTTACAATGATCCGGGTTAGAGTTAAGGGAAACAAACAGGGTTATCGCAGCTGGTGGGTGGTGGAGCTGGGCAAAGACTGCTAGAACTCTGTGTGATGACAGAGGGCTCTAGAGATATTTGGGGCCATGCAAGCAAGCACAGGGAGGTGCAGAGCTTTGCTGGAAGATGGCAGCTCAACTTTCTCCAACACTCAGCATCCAGTGCCTCATGTCACGTTTGAGCTCTTCCCCGCCATCTCCCCATGCAACCATCTGTCCAGCTATCTTCTAGCTGCCCCTCCCTCTAGTTCCTAATTGTCTACTGTCTCCTGCCCTGTCCCCCAACACAGAGGAGTGGAGAGACTAGAGGGAGTAACAGAGTTGCCAATTAAGAGCTCAGGGGACACACATATGGCACCCAATATATGCACAGTAGACTGAAGATACACCAGCATTGAATGGTTTTAGACCTGGGACAGTCTCAAGTCCTGAACCAGAGCCGTGGCTCCCCATCTGTATAGCTGGTCTTTAAAACCACAGCATTTAAGAGAAAATATTGCTTTTGCAGAGGACCTGAGTTCAATTCCCAGCACCCATGTTGGGTGGCTCATAACTACCTGTAATGCCAGTTCCAAGGGATCTGATGCCCTCTTCTGGCCTCCACAGGCACCTGCACACACACGCTCATAACCCACATACATATGCCTATAATTTTAAAATAATTTTAAAAATATATTCAAGCCACAGGTCCTAAGCTGGGGAGATGGCTCAGCACTTGCTGTGTAAGCATCAGAACCTAAATTTGAACTCCTAGAACTCATAAAAGTCAGCCGGACCTCCGACCACTATGAGGGCAAGCTATAGTCACACCTCCTTCCCACACTCATCAAGGAGTTGAGGGGTGAGTCAGTTACCCCTCCCACCCAATCAGTCGACCTTAGCTGCATGTGGGGGGAGGGGTAAAGAATATATATATATATATATATATGCCGAGAACACCAAGAGGCAATTCTCACCATTTTGTGGGGTTGTCTGGAAGTCACAGGATCCATAAATGTGGAGTGCTCACTCTTCTGTAAGTAAACCCCTACCTTATGCTCTACTAAAAAGTAATAATAAGGCTGGGCGTGGTGGTGCATGCCTTTAATCCCAGCACTTGGGAGGCAGAGGCAGGCAGACCGCTGAGGGTTCAAGGCCAGCCTCGTCTACATAGTGAGTTCCAGGACAGCTGGGGCTACAGGGAGACCCTGTCTCAAAAAGACAAAAAAAAAAAAAGTAATAAATAAAATATATTTTAAAAAGTCTGGAGCAGCATTTGTAAACACGGTGCTGGGTAAAAAGAGGCACAGAAGGATCCCAGGGTCACTAGCCAGCTAATCCAGACAAAACAGAGAGCTCTGGGTCTAGTGAGAGACCTTGTCTCCAAAATTATGGTGAATGGGCATGGAGGAAATCACACAATGTCAACTCTGGGCTCCACACCTGCATATATCACATGAACAACGCACACACACACACACACACATGCACACGCACACACACATGCACACACACACACACATGCACATGCACACGCACACACACACACACATGCACACGCACACACACACACATGCACACGCACACACACATGCACACACACACACACATGCACACGCGCACACACACAGCCCTGTTTTATAAGCTCTTTAAATACATAACTCATTCCACTATATTAGCTATGGTACATTCAGGTTTTCTATGGTACATTGCTGGTTTTCTATGCTTTGTTGCCATTCCCCCACAAAGCCCTGTGAAAGATGTTCCTCTCTCTCTCTTTCACACACACACACACACACACACACACACACACACACACACACCCATGTCTTGCAAAGCCACTGCAGCAATTAGAATACACAAGGGCTGATGGGGGACCTTTCATTGTAAGCCAAGCACTGTTTACTTCGGGAACACTGATGATGACCCAGGAGACAGACTATGAACCCATATCACACAGCATGGGGCTTGAGACACTTCAAAACTGAGTGGCCTGCCCACACCCCCAGTAGCAAGAAACAGCAGTGAGATCTGAACTCAAGGGGCTGGTTGCAAAGCCAGCTCTTCCCCACCTCCCCACAGGCCCATCCTGGGACACAAGCGGGTCACCCTGTACAGTTAGGTGAAGACCATCATTTCCTTCTCTGCCTGTCCCCCTTTCGCTCTCAGCCACCCCTGACCCCAGCCCAATCTGTGTTCTGCCTCCCCAGAACAGTGTGGGCAGCAATGTGACCCCGGTGATTACAGCCAGCAGGGTTGGACCACAGCCTAGCTCCCAGCACTGTCCTGGCACCCCCTGGAAGGCAGCCAGGACCCCCGCTGCAGGCCAGGCTGGAGGAAGGGCCCAGGCAGGAAGGGAGGCACCTCCGCCCCTTCCCCCACAAGCATGTCCTGCACAAGCAGAGACAATGTCATGCTGGGCCCACTGCCTGGATCCCAGTGGGGGAAGGGCCTGGAGGAGGCCAGGCCAAGCTGCCTTCAGGAGGCAGGAGGTTCCTGGCCCTGCTCTACCCTGCTCTGTCTGAGCTGACCTTCCCCAACCCCTACCCTGGGCACCCCATCCTGCATCCAGCTGACATTTGTTGCTTCCTGAGCCCTTACCCAAACCCAAGTCTAATCGGGTCCCTGAGGACCTAGTCCTAGTACTTTTTGTCTACCACGTGGCCTTGGGCAAGTTCCTTGACGTCTCTGAGTCTAAGTTTTGTGCTTTACAAAGCAGATAATCAGAACAACACCTAATCCCAAGAGTGAAGTAGTCAGCAGTTGGCCAGGCATGGAATAGCAGCAGAGCCCTCCTAGGCTTCAAAGGTCATGTGACCCCTTCAGCCTCCTCCCTTCCCCCATGGACAGAGCAAGTCATCTTCAGGGTGTCCTTTTAATGCTCTGTAACTTGTTTTGGATTCTTGGCCAGCATTGCTACAAGGGCTCCTGTAGTGACTCCAGCCCCCGTCACTGCATACAAGGAGTTCAGGGCTGGGACAGCTAGCAAGCAGAAGGCTGGAACAGAATGCCATGTGTAGCAAGTACTGTGCACTAAGCACCTACTGTGTGCCTGGCAGAACTAGACACTTTATTCACATGAACCAGAAACTTCCAGACACCCATGTGTAGAAAAGATCCTTGTTCTCTTCAGCCAGCAAGGAAACGGGCCTAGAGAGGAGAGCGCAAACAATGGTGACAGGATTTGAATCCTGGGCCCACCATTGTCTAAAGACCTTATTGATCCACAGGTGCCTGGAGCTGAGGCCTGGCCCACTGCCTCCCCTTTTGGCCCTCCTCCAGCTACATGGTGATACCTGCCCCCTACTCCACCTCCTGGGGAACTGCATACCTGTTTAAGAAGTCCAGACCACAGCCCCGGCCTAGGAGGCCTTCCGGCTTCCCCAAAGGCCACACACTGTCAGAGGAAGAAGATGAAGAGAGGCCAGGGGACCAGGGCTTCAGGGTCACACTCCCTGGGGAGGAAGAGTGAGGTCAGGAGTTTGAAAAACAGGGATGGCCAAAGGTGATGAGAGGGGCCTTGGCAGGCTGGTGGCCCCACCAGCACAGTGGTCCCCTGAGCACAGAGCTGGGCCAAGGCCACAGGGTGATGCTCCAGTTTCCTGGAGGAAGAGTTGGGCAGGAACTGAGGGCCCCTAAACAGCACACCCAAAAGCAGGTGTCAGGGCCAGACCCAAATCCTCAGGAACCTCCCAAGAGCCTCTCTGCCTGGCCAGGGATACAATGCAGTCTTAAGGATGGGGACACGGGCCAAGAGAGTGAGCCGCATAGGCCCCAGCCTGGCTGTAAGATGCCTCCCCAAACCTCCTGGGGGCCCTAGACAGTTACCTGTGATATCCGACATGCTGCTGAAAGACCTGGGCAGGGAGGGGATAAGGGTGGCAGGTGAAGCCCAGTGACACTCTGTCCAATCTCCTGTCCCAGCCCCCCAACCAATACTGGCCAATACCCAGACCTAGGGAAACCAGGTCACCCAACCCCCCCCATGCCATGGGGCAAGAAATTAACATCCTGGCCTTTGCCACCTTGCTCCACAGATGGGTTGTCCCTCAATGCCAGCTCCTTTCATGCTGCCTCCCCTGACAGCTCATTGCCTGCCTCATCACCTTCTCCTGCTATTCTTGATCCCTACTCCCCAGGTGCCCTCTTGAATAAGACCACCCTTATCCTCACGCCCTTGTGACAGAAGGTCACTCATATCCAGCCCATGAGTATCACAACCTCCCAAGCCCAGCCTCCTGTGAGGAGGCCACTGAGAGGGGTGGGACGGAGCCAGGAGGCAGGAAGTCTCACGTCCTGCCCTCGCCATCACGGATGTGGGCCTGGTTTTCTGGCCTCCCTGCTGTTGATGTCCACTGAAGCTGGAGCCTAACTTTCTGGCTTTGAATCCCCAGCCCCTGGAAAATGTGTTCCCTGCCTGAGCCACTGGACTTCTCAAGTTGAAGATCTCAAGTTGCCTTTGGTGACTTTCCCACCTGGGTGCTGGGCTGTGGCAGAGTCCACTCTGCCCTTTGGCATCCTGACCACTGACTTGGTTCCTTCGCTGACTCCAGAGTTTCTAGGGCTCTGGCCAGTCAGGACAGTTGGGGGAGGGGAACACTGGTGCTGACTCTGACAAGTGGGCTCAGAAGAGGTAGTTGTACAGCAGACAGCAATGCTGCCTCTCGGGGAAGCTCCCACTGCCTCTAGTCCGTTACCTCTTAGGGGGTTCTGGGTCTTCCTCACGCTGCCTACGGAGGATGGAGCCAGCACTGGGGGGGAAGGGCAGAATGGAGAGCCGGTTGATCTCTTTCTCGCTGTCTGTGGCTTCCTCCTGCAACCCAGGACAGGGCCTGGTCACCCTAAGCCCCATACCATCCCAACCCCTAACCCTCCCCCCATCCCAGCCTTCAGTATATCTGGCTTGTGCCCACCCACAGACAAGACCGGGGGGCCTAGGGCAGAGGAGCAGGCATTCAAGATTGCAGTATGTGAGGGCTTGCCACACCTGCGTGCCCTAGAAGACGGTTGGGGAGATGGTTCAGGCAATAAACTGTTTGCCATGTAAGCATAAAGACCTGAGTTCGATCCCCAGCTCCCACATTAAAAAACAAAACAAAACAAAACAAAACAAAAAACAGGCATGCTGGCATACACTTTGTAATCCAAGAGGTTAAGGTAGGATTCCTAGGGCTCACTAGCCAGTTATCTTAGGCTTATCAGACAGTCCCAGGTCCAAGAGAGACCCTGTCTCAAACACAAAGGGGGGAGGGGCAGAAAGACTGGAGAGATGACTCAATGGTCCTCAATGCAGAGGACCGGGGTTCAGTTCCCAGCACCCACATGGCAGCTAACAGCCTCCCATAACTCCAGGTCCAGGGGATCAGATGCCCTCTTCTGACCTCAGTGGGCATTGCACTACACAGGTGCACTTACATAACATGCAGGTAATACACTTATACACATAAAAATAGTAAATTAAAAAAAATAAACCAATAAACCTTGTGGGTGACTGACAAGCCACCTATGGAAAAACAGGAAAAAAGGTGGCGCTGGAGCGATGGCTCAGTGGTTAAGAGCGTGCTCTACTCTTGCAGAGGACCCGGGTTCGGTTCCCAGCAACCACATCAGGTGGCTTACAACTGCCTGTGACTCTAGCTCCAGGGGCATCTGACAACTCTGGTCTCCACTACACCTGTATTCATGTGAAATAAAATAGTAGAAATAAAATAATTTTTAAAAAGCAAGGCATGTGCCTTTAATCCCAGCACTCAAGAGTCAGAGACAGACAGATTTCTGTGAGATCGAGGCCAGCCTGATCTACATAGTAAGTTCCAGGCCAGCTGGGGCAACAGGGAGTCCTTATCATAAATAAATAAATAAATAAATAAATAAATAAATAAATAAATAATAAATAAATAAATAAATAACAGGGTGGATGGCTCCTGAGGAACAACACCCAAAAGTTAACCTCTGGTCTCCAGATGTGCACACACACATAACACAACACAACACATACACACACACACACACACACACACAATAAAAACATACATGCAAAAAAGGTTCTCAGCAGCCTCCCTGGGCCTCAGTGTCCTATGACATGCATCAGTTGGCAGACTGGAGAGCACTGTGTATGTTGGTGATACAGGAACATCACAGGCTTTCCTGTGTTTGGGGTAGGTGGTAGCTTACCGAGGTGTGGGGCTCAGATCCCCCAGCTTCCCCAGTGACTTCCGGGCCTCCCAGCGGGGACGGAAACTCACTGAGGCTCCAGGTACTGCTGAGGTTGGAGCACAAGGAGTGGGAGGAGGCACAGGCCTGCCAGAGGACAAAGCAAGAGAGGAGGTAAGCAGGGCTGAGACCAGGGCGACCACAGCCAAGCCAGGGGAAGAAGTGGGCACAGGGTGCCAGATCCCAGCCCTTATGGAGCCCACGGCCTCCAGGGGGAACCAACTGCAAGGAGAGGAACAAAATCACCCAAGGGTAAGGACAGTAGAGGGAAGCTGTCCTGGACACAGAGCATACCAAAGGATGGACCCTGCCCGGAGACACCAGCAATTTCCTGGGAAAGCAGGGTTTGAGCTGAGGACTCAGGATATGGAGGTGCTAAGTGGGTTCAGTTGGAAATTGGGGGTCTTGGTAGATGCAGCCACACATACAAAGGTCCAAAGGCAGAACTGTGACACATTCTAGGATTCACAATATTGAGACCCATGGGACTGAGCTAAGGGGGTGGATGGAGAGGCCCAACCTACAGAGCCTGTGGGGCATAAGGGAGGAGAGGTCTGTCTTTACCTCTGAGCTGAAGCCACTGGGATTCTGACAAACAAGAGGTCACATATTCCTGCCTCTTCCTTCTATTCCTCCAGGCCCCACTACACCAGTGCCAGACTCACCAGTGACCAAAGACTGATTGCCCAAAGGTCGGTACCTCTCAGTGCCACCAGGCTCTGTGACCCCCACAAGCTGAGACCCTCTCCAAGCCCTGGCTATAAGGGCATCAGAGCCGCTGGGGGATGGGGGCCTGGGAAGCCTATGCTAGACCAGCCTAGCTGCCTCTGAGGGTCCCACTTTGCATTCCAATGTGCATACAGGCCCTCCTGCAGCCAGGCTTGCTGAGTGTATGCAAAGCTCAAACTATCCTATGCCCCAAGAGCAGTCCCAGAAACCCAAAGACCCCCCTGTCTTATCCTGCTCACCAGCCCACAGCCTCAGAGTCGCAAGTTCCTACCAGTCCCATCAGATTCCCATCTCCCATGTTCCCAGCACTGGCCAAGAGCTCCCACCAGAGTTACAGTATTTCTCCATCAACAAGAGTCTTCAAGTTCACAGGACCCAGTGCCAGGGTGCTGTGCTCCCAGCCCCACTCACCTTGAGGTAGGAGCCCCCCTGCATCCGCTGCAGTTGTGACTCCAGCAGGGCCTTGGCCCCCTCCAGGCCGGTGACTGTGGTGAGCAGCTCATCCCGCTCTGCCTCCAGGCTCCGCACCTGCTTGCGGTACTGATCCTTCTCGATGAGGCTCTGGGAATACTGCAGCTGGATCCGGTCTCGGCTCTGGATGGCCTAGAGAGAGCAGGGTAGCCAAGCCACTGAGAGCAGCTCTGGCTCAGGGGCTGGATGGAACCCGAATGGCGCTATTGGGGGGGGGCTCTTCCCATATGCTAAGAATCCGCTCATTTAATCTCTAATCACAGTGAGTAAATGGGAACTGTGATTGTTCTCATTTGCTGGTAGAGAAATCACACCAACAGCAACAGAGCTGGCTCTGGCCAGGAAGGCTGACCACTGAGTCCAGGCTGGTCACTCCCCGAAAACAACTTAAGATGCTTCCAGGAGACCCACCATGCACCCGGAATCACAGCCTCTGGGCCCCTATAGGAGTCAGGAGTCCATCTCCAGTGCATCCAGAACACTCTCCTCCCATCAAGACCAAGTCCCTGAGAGCTGGGGGCTGAGAGTGATCTGGTGACAAGCCACTCCTGGGTCTTGCCCCAAGAGCACCTGAATCAGTGTCAGGGATGACACTCCAAACCTACATTCTCAAAAGCTCCAGGTGAATAGGAGGGTCATTCTAACACGTGTGGGATGAAAGCCTCCTGCCCTGTCCCCCACACAGGGACCCTCACACATGGAGGACAGAGGCAGAGAAACTGGCCCCAAGTACTCAGCCACCCTGAAGCCTTGGCAGGGTTGTGGTGCCAGGAACACAGAGTCAAAACTTTTGGGAATTTCTCTATCAGCAAATTTTTGCAGGTCCCTCCTCCAAACTGACCTTGTCTTTGATAAACAGAACTGGGTTGAAGAATGAAGGGGGAGCTAGGATGAGTGGGTGCGCTTAGGGTCTTAAGGTGGGTCTCTCAAGGACTTGGGGGAAAAGCAGGGCTCCTGGCTGCAGTCTGAGGACCCATGTGTGATTTATCAAAGGTCTGAAGCCCACTTCAGTGCCACCTGGCTGTTTGACCTCTGGTAACCCCTGATCCTCTGTGGCCCCTGTGCAAAGATAGGATTAGAGCAGCTGGTCTCTGGGAGACACTGAGGCCCATATTAGACTAGAGGGCATCTGAGGTCTGTATCAGCTTGCCTGAGTATATGCAAAGACACTTGCCTGGGTCTACTTGGACTGCCAGCCCCATCTCAATGGATCAGGGTGCTGTTGATGTCTCCTCTTGAAATCCCAATCACCCCCCGCCTTCCTCCTGCTCCTCCTCCTCCCTCTTCTTCTCTTCCTCCTCCTCCTTCTTTGTCTCCTCCTCCTCTTTCTCCCTCCTTCTCCTCCTCCTCTTTACTGAACTAGAACCAATGGTGGAACGAGGCATTCCACGCAGCGTGCCAGGGCTCACCTGGTCCCGCTCCTTCTCAATTTCCTCCAGCTGGGCCAGCACGGTGGCCATGCGGTGCTTGTACAGGTCACAGTCCTTCAGCAGCGTGCGGTGCTTGAGTCGCAGGTCTTCCATCTCCTGCAGGTACTGCAAGAGGGGCAGGCAGGCAAGGCTCAGAGCCCCAGGAACAAGGGCCCACCTCCCTGGTGGGGTAACCTCAGCTACTGCCTTCACTTCACGGGGCCTCAGCTGCCTAAGTCATAAGATGGGCTTGACAATAGTAACAGCATCTTCTATGCCAACCATGGGTCTCCCACGGAAACTGCCGCCCACAACCCCTTACCCTTCTCAGCTGATTTCCCAGCACTGGCCTATAGCTCTATGGCCCCACGCACTTACTGCCCTAGTGTTACAGTGTGCACATTGCTTGCCCCCCACCACTAGACAGTGCCCTCCCCAGGAGCTGGGGCCTTGAATTTTAAGATTTATTTTTAATTATGCATATGCATGTGTGTCTGTGTGTGAGTATGTGCATGTGAGTGCAATTGCCCAAGAAGGACAGAAGAGGGTGTCGGGTCCCCTAGAGCTGGACTTACAGGCAATTGTGAGTCACCCAACGTGGGTGCTGAGAACCGAACTTGGATCCACTGCAAGAGCAGTACACATACTCTTAACCACTGAGTCATCTCTATGACTCCCCTGTTTGTTTATTTTCATTTGATATGTATGAGTGTTTTGTGTGCATGTAAGTACACCCATGAGTGCAATGCCCCCACAGAGGCCACAAGGGGGCGTCAGATCCTTGAAACTGGTATTTCAGACAGTTGTTAGTTGCCATGTGGGTGCTGGGAACTGAACTCAGGTCCTGGGCTCTTAACTGCTGAGCCATCTCTCCAGCCCCCCTCCTTTTTTTAAGATTTATTTTTTGGGGAGTGGAGCTTGGATTTATTTGCTGATGAATCTGCAGTGCCTAGTAGAGCCCTATGGACACAAGAGGATGAACAAATGCACAGATCTTGGGCCAACGTCCCCTGGAGATGCCTAGGGAAGGCTCCTGGAGTGCACTGTCAATGTCTGGCAGCCTAGCCTCCCAAGCCAGGGCATCAGCAGAGGACAGGGGAGCAGGGTAGGGGTGGGGAGGTGGGCCTGTGGTCATTACCTTGTCCCGAAGCTCCTCCGCCCACTGCAGCTCGCCCTGCACAGCATGCAGCTTCTGACACAGCTCCTGCCTGCTGTCCTGCGCCTCCCGCCAGTCATGCTCCAAGATGTCCAGCAGAATTCGCTCAGAGCCTGGGGCCCCTGGCCGGTTCACTTCCTGTGGAGCAGAGTGCAAGCAACCTCAGCCCCTGCTCGCCCCCCCTCACCTTGGGCATAGGGTGGAAGAGAGACATACAATCCTTAGCCCTTCACCCCACCCCACTAGCTCTGCCATCCTGGCCTCTGGAACTTAGTTTCCCTGGAAGGATGGGCATGGCCCCACACGCCCTGTTGTCCTCCAGAGGACCTGTGGGACTCATAGGGGTAAATGGATGAGGGTGTGCTGAGTTCAGTGAGGACCATGGTCCCAACCCACTTCCCACCCAGCCCTTCCCCCTTGCTCTGGCCCCCACCTCACACCCAGGCAGAGGACAACATCTATTCCCAGTGCCTATCCTACCACGGTGATCTTCAAGGGGCTGGTGCTGAACACGAGATCCAGCCTTCAGATCCACACCCAACCAAGCACCCTAAAGCCACAAAAATGCATGATATTGTTCCCATTTCTTATGTGGCCAAGAGGGCAGGTCCATGCTGCCACTGACCTACCAGGAGACACCCAGACCTGGGGGCGGGGGGGCAGGTCTCAATCATTTCAGGGTCAGAGACTCCTTTACAAATTCCAGCAAAGCCAGAGGTAGTGGCACAAGTCTATAATCCCACCACTGGGGAGACTGAGGCAGGAATATTAGGAGTTCAAGGTCAGCATAGGGTGCACAGCGGCTTCCAAGCTAACCAGGATTATATAGTGACCACAAACCTGTCTCAAAAGTAAAAAACAAAAAACAAAAACAGGGCCATACATGGCAGCACACAACCATAATCCCAGCACTTGGCTGAGGCAGAGAGATCATGAGTTCAAGGCCAGCCTGGGCTAAATATAGAGACCTGTCTCAAAAAACCTAGGTTTGTCAGCCATGGTGACTCACATTTGTAATCACAAGACTCAGGAGGCAGAGGCTAACCTAGTCTACACAACCAGTTCTAGACCAGCCAGGGCTGCAGAGTGACATGACTCTGTCCCAAAACAAAACTATCACAACATAGTTTTGTCCTATCATATTAGGACAAAATCCTCGGCCTGCAGGGTAGGTTAGAGGTAGAACACTTGTCTGGCATGCACAAGGCCCTAGGTTCGAGCCCTAACATTACATTTTTTAAAGGGGAAATCGGGAGCCCTCTCTCCAGGAAGATGCTCACATACACTCAGAGATGCAATTGCATGGGGTTCAGAGGCCTCTGGAGGCTGCCCACAGACCCCAGACTGATCCCCAGGGAAAGCAGTGTACTAAGGACCCTCAGCTGAGAGCTGGAGGTGAGAAGTGGGCCTGGCTTGCATCAGTCCTCAGCCCACTGGTTCTGAAGACCTCATCCTTCCAGCCTCAGAAAGACAGATAGCAACAGGAGTCAGCTTCTGGCTGACCCCCACCCTCCACCCCACCCTCCCAGCCCCTGAATCCTACCTGTTGCACACCCTCCTGGAGCTCCTGCAGGGATGCGGTCAGCCTCTGGTTCTCAGCCCGCAGCTCAGAGAGCAGATCTGCACTGTCTGGCTCCTTCTCCTTCTCTCTCTCCTCAGCCCCAGGCAATGGCCCCCTGGCCCTCCGAAGCAGGGCACACTCTTCCTCCAGCCGGCTGACCTTAAGCTTGAGCTGATCCACCTGGGACCCAAGACACAGGTCATCCCCAGATGGGACCCACTGGGAAAAAGCCCAAGTAAGGCTCTGGCTGAGACGTGTCTTTGGAGAAGACCAGACTGGGCAAAAATGGAACTCATAGAGAGAAGGGGGCAAAGCCAAGACCTAGGCCATCCTTCCAGGAAAACCTGCTTCGAGGCTTATGCACTGGTGTCCTGCATCATAGCACACATTTGTCCTGATGTGGCCAATATCAATATGACAGAGGAGAAGGGCTACATAAGAACAGGTGTGGGGGAGGTGAGGGACAGGGCTGGAACAAGCTCTGCCTCAACTCGGGGTGGCCGTGGTCAAGTCTTGGCCTCTGGCTGTACCTTCCTGAGTCTCCATATCTAGAGCCAGAGGGAGGAGAAGGGAATGATGGCTCTGAGGGTCTCATCCAGCCCCGGAGCCAGGGACTGCACCTCCAGCCCCTATTACACAGATACTGCCAGGTTCTTCCTTAGGAAATTCCTCACAGAAGAGCTCAGTGTGGTGGCACAAACCAGTAATCTCAGCACTTGGGAGGCTAAAGCAGGAGGACTTCCTAAAGTTCAAGGCCAGCCTGGGCTATATACTGAGTTCCAAGCCAGCCTTAGCTACATAGTGAGACAAGAAGGGGGAGGGGGAGGGGGAGGAAGAGGAGAGAGAAGGGAGAAGGAGGAAGAAGGAAGAGGAGGAAGGAAAGAAGAAAAAATTCTTCCCAGGGGCTTTTTCTAAAAGAGTAGCTCACTGGTTCGTGCCTAGTATCCCACAAGCAGGTTCAGGTTCAGGATCCAGTAATAACCACTGTAGCGCTGCCAAACTGAGCAAGTCCCCTATCTCCTCCCTGTCTCAGTTTGCTCATCAACACAATGGGACCCTGCCTCCCAGAATTGTTGCAAGAATCAAACAAGATAAAGCAGGCTGTAGAGCTGCCACATGTGAGACAGCCATTGTCAAAGCCCAGAGTCCTGGCCCATCACCAGCTCAGTGTGGGCAGCCAGAGCCTAGCCTGGGAGCTGGATGGGGGTGGGCAGCTGATGATGGCTTCCTGACCCAAGGGTGGACACACATGGCCAGTTTGCTAAAGTACAGTGTTCTTGGCTGGGAATGATTGCCGAATTCTTGTAGGAACTGGGATGGCCAGAATGCAGGGAGAGGAGCAACAGGTGGCAGGCCATCAGTGAAGTCACTGTCGGGGAAAGACCACAATACCTCTGGGGATGCCTGGTGTCCTAGAAGTGTCCTGTCTCTGCTGGAAAATGACCTGCTGGTCCCCTAGGCCTCAGAGCTCAGAACAGCAACACACACACACACACACACACACACACACACACACACACACACACAGAGCTGGGTCAGCAGTTCCACAAATTAACAGTCCACTTCTCCTCCACAGAGACTCATTTATGACCCCACATTCCTTTCCACTCACAAAACATGTTTTGTGATCGGCTGGAGAAAGACAGCTGGTTTCAAGGGCAGGCTGGCCACACCCTTCACAGCAAACCGCAGCTGCACACTGAGGTTCCTGCCTGACCCTCGGGCCAGTCGTCTTCCCCAATGAGCTCAGAGGACAGGTCACCCAGCACTCTAAGCCGAGCCCCAGGAAACCGGATGCCTTTAATCCCAGTGTACAAACTCCTTGAACATGAAATTACAGCATTCGCTCCTTAAGTTTATGTTGCTTAGAAATAACAGCTCATTAAATTTGCACCTTATAAAACACGGTATTAAATCAGCCACCACATACACCTGTCCGTGGGGGAAGGAAACCAAGCTGCCGAACCAGACACCATCAGCTGTTCTGTAAACCTCCACCTGGGAGCCCTCTTTAAACTTTGTGACAGAAAAGCTCCAGGAAGTGCAGGTGAATTTCTGGAAGTTCTCTATTCATCTGATCTCCTATTCATACTCTATGTCCTAAATGCAAGCACAGCCATAGAGGCAGATGGTCCCACCCATGTGGACCTGCAGCCGGAGTTAGCACCTCTATCCGAATCTTCTCTAGCCCCCAGTCACTAGCCCATCTCAGCAGCCCCCCAAGATTGTCACACACACACAATATGCCCCAACCACACAGACCCAATTTATAAGTCACACCCTGCCCAAAGGGGACACCAACCAGGCCTGCTACAACCTCTGGCAGCCTCACCTGGCCCTCTCTGAGCAGTTCCTTAAGGGAGAACCTCGAAGCTAGCCCCATGACAGTTTCAGAAAAAGAGGAACAGCTCCAAGGGAAGGGGGTGGGGGGGACCCAGCTGCCACCTGCCACCCCTCAGCAAGGCAGACAGCAAAGCCAGAACCTCCTCAATCTCAGAATGTTGGGACAGTGCTCTAAATAACCTCTCTGTGCCTCAGTTTCCCCCTCCATAAATGGGGACCATAGCAGTGTCTAATTCCAAACACGAACAGTTGGGAGGTGGGCAGTGTGTGCAGAGCAAACACTCAGGACCGTGCCTGGTGAACAGGGTTGCTTCACAATGCCAGGTCATCCTCACGGTGACTTCTTACTTCTAAGGATGAGGAAACTGAGGTATGGGGAAGGAAGCTTGACCCTATGTGACATTGCTCATTAGCAACAGAGTAAGACCAGGGACCTGTGTCTGTGGCCTTGTGCATTACCTCTCAGAAAGTCAGAAAGCAGACGCTCAGACAATGACCTCAGGATAAGCTAGCAATTGCCTCAGGATAAGCTAGCAATTGCCAACAAGCCACCTACACCTGAAGCAGGGACAGTGGCCTCAGCAGCCTCATCTGGGCTCCCTTCCCCAAAACACTGAGCTATGTATGCAGCACGTAGAAGCACAAACAACTGGCACCCCTGCACCTACAGTCTCCTACATACCAGTCTCCACCCCCAGTCCCTCCCCATCACTCTCAACACCACAGCCATAGCTGGGGCTCAAGGCAGAGAGGGGCTCTAAACACTAAGGTCAGAACTTGTAGAGTCTGACATTCCTGAAGAAGCCCGGAAGCCCCTGATCTGGATCAGCTTATCAGTGCTTGGGACAAATCTCTGTGGATAAGGCATGATTCCCATGTGGAGTTCCAAGAAGAACTGGTGGGGGTCGGGGTGGGGGGAAACTCTGTCTCTTAGCCGGTGAGAGGTGCTCATCCCAGAAAAAGCACAGCAACCCAGAGGATCCACTGGAGAGGAGTCAGTCAGAGTTCACTGGCCCGGAACAGGCAGTACGACATCCCAGGAAAGAAGCCTGCTTGGGCACCAGGCAGACATAGTTTATACCCAGGCTCTGCACCCTTGAGCAAGTTCCTTCATCGATGTGAGCCACTGCATCTGTACTTTGGAACCAGACCTGTGTGGTGCATCGGTGAGCACAAGATGAAGCGACACATGGAAGCTTTGAGGGATACTGACAGCTCTGGATAATAACAGCTGACGCTGGCACAGGCTTCGAGAACTGGCTCCGTCAGGCACTGTCTACATTTGACATTTCATAACCTAAACTCACTAAATCCTCTCAGCCCAGCATTTTGCCATCTTAGTACCATGGGGCCCGTCCTGGGCTTGGTAGGCTGCTTAACTACATCCCTGGCCTCTACTTATTAAATGCTAATGTTATCACCCTGTTTGTGACAACCAAAACTGTTCCCCCAGAGGGCTAGGAGCGTGGCTCAGTTAATGCAGTGCTTGCCTACTATGCACGAAGCCCCGGGTTCTCCAGCACTACATAAACTGGAGGTGGCAGTACACACTCATAATCCCAGCACTTGGGAGGTGGCAGCAAGGAGATCAATCAGAAGTCTAAGGCCATCCTTGGCTCCACAGAAAGTTTGAAGCCAGCCAGCCTAGGATACCTGAGACCCTGCCTCAAAAAAAAAAAAAAAAGAAAGAAATCAATAAATGAACAATGTAAAATAAATCTGAGGCTGGAGAAATGGCTCAGTGGTTAAGAACATTTGCTGTTCTTCCAGAGGACCCAGATTCGATTCCCAACACCCACATGGTGGCTAACAACTGTTTGTAACTCCAGTTCTAGGGAATTCGACACCCTCTTCTGGCCTCCACAGGCATTGCACACATGAAGTATACTTACACACATGCAGGCAAAACACTCATACACATTAAAATAATTTTTTTAAAATAAAAATAAATCTGTTCCCAGAAGGGTCACGTTTTGGAGGTAGGGGGGAAGATCTCCCCCAGTTAATAACCTAATAAAATAGGAACATGGACAGTGAAAGAATTGATTTTCAGTCAAAAGACAGTCACATCACCATCAGTTTTTGAAAGGTCACCCCTTCTTCACCCCATCCCACCTGTCTCCCTGGGGCCTACCGCCAGCTGCAGGTCCCGGCTTCGAAGCACAGCAGAGTTCTTTTCCTCACTGAGCTGAGCCAGGCGCATGGCGATCATGTAATTCTCATCCTTGATCCGCAGCAGCTCCAGGCTACTGGCCTCCCAGTCCTCCCGTAGCCGCTGACAGCGCTCCTGTGCCTGCTGTTGCTCCTGCAGCCGCTGCTCCAGCCCGGCCCGCTCCTCCTCCAGCGCCCGGACTCGAGCTTGCAGCTGCTGTTCTCGCTGCAGCTGGCTCTTCCTAGCTTCCCGCAGCCGCCGCACCTCGGTCATCAAGAACTGGGTTAGGCCCTCGGGTCCCTCCTCATCTGTCAGAGCAGGAAAAGGAATGTTCAGGAGGGGCAAATAAAATCTGGGGGAGTATTGGACTCAACATAAAAACTCAAACCAAAAAATCACTACAGGGAAATTTTGGAAGCTATTTTTGCTATTTTTGGACAGAGAAGCTCTTCTGAAACAAAGCACAAAATCTTGGAGTTATCTGAGAAAAAGTGGACACATCCATATACAAAATGTTAAAACCTCTGAAAAATGAAAGAGCTAACAAAGTTCGAGAACAGGAAAGCCAAGGAATAGGGAAAAATATATAACAAGACTCAAAGCCACAATATCAGAAGAGTTCCCACGAAAAAAGAAAAAGAAAACAGAGAGGCAGAGACAACCTGTCTCCGTGAGTTTGAAGGCAGCCTGCTCTCATATAATTAGTTCTAGGCTAGCCAAGGATACACAGTAAGACTTTGTCTCAGAAAAAGGTAAACAACTGGATGAAAATGTGTGCACAAACTATCACTAGATAAGAAGCAAACTGAAAATAGCTAATATGCACAGGAAAATATGCTCCAATCTACCAGCAATTACAGTAACACTAGTCACTAATACTTGTTGACTTTATTCTTTATGCTATACTTCATCTTTATGGTACTATAAGATGTATTATTGTACCCATCTCAAAAACAAAAATAGTGAAGACTAGCAAAGTCAGGTGCCCACTGTTTACTCACTGGTAAGCTGTGAACAACATAAATCAAGAAAATATAAGCCTGAACCATTATTACTATTTACATATCTGGAAAAACATGTTTCAGAGTGATCCTTGTGGTTATTTAGCAAAGGGGGCACACTGCTGGTGGGGGGTACGTTCATCTACCACTTAAAATATATACATCCTCTGAGGGATTCCACTCCAGAAACTCTCCCTGGTTCAGAGAAGTGGGACTGCACACAGCTGCACATGCAAAGGTATTTCCAACCTGGCTGTAATATTACAAAGTTAGAGGGGTTGGGGATTTAGCTCTGTGGTAGAGTGCTTGCCTAGCAAGCGCAAGGCCCTGGGTTCAGTCCTCAGCTCCGAAAAAAAAAAAAAGACAAAATATTGCAAAGTTAGAAACAACTTAGCTGTCCATCATAAAGAGATGAGTTAAATGGATTACATCACAGCTTCACTAATACACATTATGGAGTCACTTCAAACAAGTGCAACAGAAATGGGAGGGTCACTGGAATCAGCCATTCGGAGACACAGCAAAACCCTGAGCAACACAGCAGGCTAAGCCTGTGTGTGTCTGTGTGTGTGTGTGTGTGTGTGCGCGCACGCACGCTGTAGTGGAGGTCGGAGAATAACTTGTAGGAATTGGTTCTTTCCTTCCACCATGCAGATCCTGGGGATAGAACTCAAGTCACCAGGCTTGGCAGCAAGCACCTTTACCTGCTGAGCCATCTCACTAGCCCTTGATATATATATATATATTTAAATGAGAAACTAAGCTTTGTGCAGCCATATCATGATGAAAAGGTTCTCAGGGAGAAAGAATCATGCTAACCCTGTGGACTCTGAACTCTGGACCCAGCCCTCCCCAACACCTGTGGCAGGCCCTGAGAAAACAACTTCGATCTGTGCCTCAGTCTCCTTATATGTCCAACAGGGATAGTGGGAGTAACTCCTTAATGGGACCAGAGTAAGGAACGTCTCTGAAGTGGCAGGGAGGCAGGGGCACCCACTGCGATTGCTCACCGAGGATCATGGAACAGCGCTGGGCGGGTTCCTGGCCAGTGAGCAGCGTGAAGTGTTCGGGATAGTAGAACTCCAGGGCTTCCAAGAAAGCCTCGTAGCCCCTCTTACCACGGCAGCGCAAGATGTCTATGAGGCGCCCTGGGGGTAAGGGTTACACCAGGCGTCAGGACGAGGGCCTCCGCTGCACCCCTGCTCTCTTCCCCCATTATGCTCCAGGGCCTACGTTCCCCAGATTTTTGAGCTGTGACACATAGAGAGAGGCTTGTCCCAACACATCACAGAGCAGAGCTCAGTCTGTCCTGGCCAGGAGCCGCCAGACCCTCCCTAGGACACCTGCTCTTCAGCAAGTCCCCAGCACACCCCCTACACATATTATACCACACACACACACACACACACACACACACACACACACACACACAAGGGTAGCAATGCCTGCTTTCCCCAGGCAGGGAGAAGCCCTCTCCTTCCAAAGAAAAACGTTCCCACTGGTCAGGGCTGAAGTTCCATGAGACCCTGGTTCCCATGCCAGACCTGGTTCAAGGACACACCCAGTGGGAGAGGAGACTCAGAAAACTGAGCTTGAACTCTGGAGAAAAACTGATTCTCCAAGGAGCGTCTCCAAAGAGACAGAACCAAGGAGTCAAAGGGCACAGGAAAGATGCCAAGGCCACCGGCTCTGACAGGAGGGAGGTCACCGAGGTCACCAGCATCAGCCACCACATCCAGCCCTCTGCTCTGATGTGGGCCCAGGAAGTGGTGGGGGGATACCCTCCCCCGTCCCCAAGCAGGACCAAGCCCTGACGCGGGTGCGGGCAGAGTTGGGAGGCGGCGGCCCGGGCTCACCGGTGCGGTTGGCGCGGCACGGGAAGCGGTAGGTGCTCAGCACCTCCTCCTCGTCCTGCTCGTCCAGCACGCGGCACTGGCGCAGGTACGGCGTGAGTTTGGCGGGGTTCAGGGCGCGGGTCAGCCGGTGGCGCACGCCCTCTATCCGCTCCCACAGCGCGTCCTCCTCGGCCTCCGAACCCGAGCCGGCCCCGGCCTCCTCGTCCGCCTCGCCTGCGTCCGCCCCGCCCGGCATGGCTGCGTCCTCGGGGTCTGAGGGGAACCGGCGCAGTGGGCACCGGAGCGCAGCCGGGCAGCGCGGCCGACCGCACCTGGGCGGCACCCGGGGTCCCGGGTCCTCCCCACGCCGTCCTCCCCGGTCGCCCGGTTCTCCGCCGGATCTCCCCCAGGCTGTCCTCTAGAATTCCTGCGTCCACCCTGCACGGTCCTCCCCGGTCCCCCCGGGATCCCCACGTCCTCCCCGCACCGTCCTCCCGGGTCGCCCGGTTCTCCGCCGGGTCTACCCGGGCGGTCCTCTGGAATCCCTGCGTCCACCCCGCGCGTTCCTCCCGGGTCCCCGATCCTCCCCTCGCCGTCCTCCGGGGTCCCCGGGTCCTTCCCGCGCGGTCCTCCCGGGTCCCCCCGGCGTCCTCCCCGCGCCGTCCCCCACTCCCCGCCGGGTCCCCGCACTCACTCCGCACGCCGCCGCCGCCCCGGGTTCCCGGCTCCACGCTCGGCCTCCGACTCCTGCGGCGCAGCGGGGCGGCGCCCTCGGGGTCCCCGGCTCCACCC